TTCCCTCACCTGCTCCACCCTGCCCAGGATCTTGAATGGGGGCAAGAGGAATGATCAGCTGGGAAAGGAACCCCTGGATGGGGTCCTCCTGAAGGAGTTCTTGCTGCAGGGTGAATGCCGTGAGATCACGCATTTTACAGGCATAGAGAATTTTTTGAGGTGAACAGCTGAAATTTGAGTGTTATGGGTTGATTTGTGCCCCCCCCACAAAAAAAGATATGTTAAAGTCCTAACGCCTGGTACCTGTGAATGTGACATTATTTGGAAATAGGGTCTTTGCAGGTTTAATCAAGATAAAGTTCTTAGGATGTGTCCTAATCCAAGGTGACCGCTGTCCTTGTAAGAAAAGGGAAATTTGGACACTGACACAAACACAGGAGGATAAGAAGACACAGAGACACAGGGAGAAGCCCATGTGGCAATGGAGGACGAATGATGCATCTACAAAGCAAGGGACACCAGGGATTGCCAACAAAACCAGAAGCTAGAAGAGGCATGGAACAGATTCAGAGCCCTGAGGAGGAACCCACCCTGCCAACATCTTTTTTTTTTTTAAATTTTTTAAAATTGAAGTATGCTTGATTTACAATGTTGTGTTAGTTTCAGGTGTGCAGCAAAGTGATTCAGTTATAGATATATATTCTTTTTCAGATTCTTTTCCCTTATAGGTTATTTCAAAATATTGAGTATATTTCCCTGTGCTATACAGTAGATCCTTGTTGGTTATCTATTTTATGTATAGTAGTGTGCATATGTTAATCCCAACCTCCTAATTTATCCCTCCCCCCCACCCCTTTTCCTTAGGTAACCATAGTTTGTTTTCCATGTCTGTGGGTCTCTTTCTGTTCTGTGTATAGGTTCATTTGTCTCATTATTTTAGACTCCACATATAAGTGATATCATATGATATTTGTCTTTCTCTGGCTTACTTCATTTAGTACGATAATCTCTGGTTCCATCCATGTTGCTGCAAATGGCATTATTTCATTCTTTTTTATCCACCCTGCCAATATCTTGCTTTCACACTTCTAGCTTCCAGAACTGTGAGAGAATAAAGTTGTGTGGCTTTAAGCCACCTAGTGGTTTTACTTTGTTATAGCAGCCCTTAGGAAAGAAAGACATTGGGGTTCTCAGGTGTAAACTGCAATGGCCCAAACTTTTTCACTGAACACCCAGACCCATGACTACAATGACGGTTAGGAAAATAAAATCCAAATCACCTTAGTTGTTTTTATACAAGTTTGCAAAAATGCATCTGCTTTGCAGGGGATGTCATATTAGCTGCAGTAATAAGAAGACCGTCATTTAAATAACAACCCTTCCCTCTCTCCATCCTTTTCTTCCTTCCTTCCTCCCTCTGGTCTTTCTCTCTCCTTCATTCATTCGTAGAAAACGTGTTGGGTGGTAGGTTCTTGGGATACCTCAGAGAGAAGAGAACTCTTGGAACTTACATCCTAGTGGAAGATGCACACATTAAACATAATAAATAAGTAAATTATACAGCATGTTAGGAGGACCAAAAAAATAAGACCTGGGAAAGAGGGCTTGGTGGTGCTGGGGTGGGAAGCCGCTCGCAGCACTAAGTGGGGTGGCACACCTGTGTGGTCACCTGAACCATTCCTGACTTTCCACCAGTAAAGTCAGAGCACACAGGAATCTTGTGCTTCTGTAAGGAGGCGGGAACATTTGTGATCTCGGTGTAGCCTCACAGGAAGCCCGCACAACATGCTACATGCACCACAGCGATTTACTTCATGTCACCAGGTTGGAAGGACAGGTGGAGGAGGATGGAGCCCAGGCTATGCCGCCTCCATTTGACCCACATGGTCGACCTCCTCAAGACCAAGGTTTCGCTCCCATTTGGGAGCCAGAGTCCTCACCGTTAGGAGACAGCCCCAGCTCAGAGACCAATCTGAATAGACACGTCTTGGTTGCAAAGAAGTTACGTGACCTTAAGAAAACCCAGCCTCCCCCCTGCCCCCCCACCCCCCCCATGCCAAGCATCACTGTCACCTGGACACATTTTCAAACACTGAAAATACTAAACACTTTTTTACCTCTTGCTTGGTGCTGGTCACCAGCGTCCTCAGATCAGAAACAGAAGCAGCTGACCTTGTCGGAGCTCTTCCCTGGGGCCTCATCCCCCTTGACCCTCACAGGCAGGGGTACTGTCGTAGTCCTAGTTACGGCTGAGGGGACTCAGGGAGGCATCGCTTTGTCTTCTTGCCCAGTACCTACATACCTTTATCCTGAGATCAGCTCTCCAGCTTGACTTTGAGGGCCCTCACTGCCTCTTGGAAACGTAAGGGGGTATCTTGTAGAGAGTGTGATTTATTTCATCTACAAACTCTACAATGAAGCAATCCTTCCTTCTATGACCTCAAGATACAAATTCTCAGAGTACTAATAAGGTGTGTTGCCTTTAGCTGATTGAGAAGCAGACACATGAGCCAAACTAGGGCAGTCACATGCTCTCCTTGGAGTCTGAATCTTTTCCTTATCCATCTCAGTGGTGAGGCCAAAGCATCCCTGCTCCTGCCATTTGGGACCTGCTGAAAATTTCTGACTCTGGTTTCTTAGCATGTCCTTCATGGGCTAGGCAGAATCGTGGTCCCCATAAATATCCACATCTTCATCTCTGGAAACTGTGAATATATGAACCTTACATGGCAAAAGGGACTTTGCAGATGTGGTTAAATTAAGGATCTTGAGATGGGAATTATCCTGGATTATGTGGGTGGGCCTAATGGAATCACAAGGCTTCCTACTAGTAAAAGAGGAAGGCAGGAGGGTCAAAGTGATGCAGCATGAGAGAGACTCAACCAGCCATTGCCAACATTGAAGATGGAGGAAGGGGCCACAAGCCAAGGAGTGCAAGTGACCCCTAGAAGCTGGAAAAGCAAGGAAATCAGTTCTCCCCTAGAGCCCCTAAAAGAAATGCAACCCTGTCTACACCTTGATTTTAGCCCAGTGAGACCCATTTCACACTGACCTCCAGAAAGGCAAGATAATAAACTGCAAAATTTTAAACCACTGAGTTTGTGGTAATTTGTTACAGCAGCTATAAGAAATGAGCGCACCCAAAATCCTTCTAGAAAGCTCCTGTTTGTTTTAGTTTACTTTCTGCTTAAGTAAGCCTGCCTCAATTATTGTTGCTTGTAACTGAAGAGCCATACCTAGGAGACAACTAATTTCCAAGTCTCCCTCCCCCTTGCCCCACCCCCACTCTGTTTCCAGGTCCTGGGTTTCTGGTCAACCAGCCCTCCTATCACTCCTAACTGGGATCTGAGCTCAGCTTAGTGATAGGAACTTGCCCTTGTTAACAGCTCTCCCAGATACCAACCGGTTGCTCACCCGGTCTCCTGGCTGTCCCTGGACCCAGATTCCTTGTGTCTTAATGCCTCTCCCACATTTGGAGTCACCCTGCTCCTTTTCTGGGACACACCCCACCCTTTTCCACTTATCACTTGGCTGGATGGTGATTGTGCTGTTGCTTTTCTTCCTGTCACACTGTGCCTTCGACACAGACTAAACCACTTCCATGGACTTGCACACCACCACCCCCCAGTACCTGTCAGACCCCAGTAGGAATGGCTAATTCTGGAGCATAGGATGAGCCCAGCTACTCCTTCCTGGGGCACGTTCAGACTCTACTTGGCCAAATCATGTGATATGACACCACCTATGGATAGCTGATGGTTCAGGGTAAGTGGTGCCTAGAGAGAACTTTATTTCATCTAAGAACTCTACAATGAAGCAATCCTTCCTTCTATGACCTCAAGATACAAATTCTCAAAGTACTAATAAGAAACCAAAGAGGTTAAGCTGTAGCTTCCATGTTCTTCTGCAACTGGCGCAAGTTAGAGAGGAAAGGACAGGAAGGCATCTGACGGGGCCGTTTCTTATTCTCTGACTTCACTGGGGCTCATTTCAACCGGTTCCCCGGGATTGCAGGAGGCGCAGACAAACCATCCGGGTTGGACAGCTGATTCCAAGGTGTTCCAGGAGCCCACCGTAGCCCTATAAAAGATGAAGGGCAGATATGGGTGGCCATGTCAGAAAGTTTCTGCTTCTAGGAGGTAAAAGAGAGTAATGAGATAGCACAGACTTTGAGATGGAGAAAACCCAGCATGTGTGCTCTAGGAGCGCAGAACCAAAAAGGAGGGCAATAAAGCCTCCATCCAATGCTTCCAGAAAGGCAGATGCTCCTGTTATATTGGCCAAGATGAGAATTTGTGGCACACGAGAGGCATTAAGGACCCGGACCTTGATCTCCCTCTTAGGGTGGCCGAGGGTAAAGAAAACAAGCTCACCTTCAGCTGCAGGATGGCTGTGGCTTTGTCTTTTGTTCACATCACAGAAGAGACACAGCTCACCTTTAGAGACGACCAAGAGAATCAGGCTTCCTCTCTCCTCACAAGCTGACCTCACGTGGGAGGCTGATACAAAGAAGGTCTCTGGAAAATGACAGTAAGAGAAATGGGTTGGTCCTCGGCGGAGGGAAGAGGCCCTCTTGTCTGCTGCGGTTTCAGGCAGGAAGTGTAACCCTCTCCCCTTGGCTCTGGGTCAGAGACCCTTTGTCCACTCTGGCCCAAGCCGCCTCTTCTTCCACAGGCCAGCTCCTTCTTTCAGAAAGAGAACTTTCCAGAAAGACTTTCCTCAGATCCGGTCATCGGTATAGACTCACCGTCTAATTCCTAGCGATCCTAGTGGTCCCTGGGCTCCCCCGGCTCGCAGACCTCCACCACCTGCAGCTGCGGATGTGGTACAGCCTGAGCTGAGCCCCTCAGAGGAAGGCCTTCCTCTGGCCGCCAGGGAGAAAAGCACGACTGAGAGTCACCTGGGAGTACGTAGGTTTTATACGGAACAGCTCTGAGGGTCCCAGAGTCCGGGACCAATACTTTGTGATCCCCGTCACGGATGGTGAATTTCTCCAGGCCTTTGGCCTTCACTTTTGGACCTAGATCAAATTAACCAGATATCAACACTGAGCACTGAGCACAGAAAACTCAATCCTTCTAGCCCATGGGCAATGTTCCCAGCCCCAGCCCTCCACCCTGCCTGTGGACTCAGCGGTCCAGCCCACTGAAGATTTTGCCCACCCCAGGCTTTCTGGCTTGCTCCACACAAGAAATTTAGCGTGCATGTAAGCACATGGGTCCTTATTCTGACACATGGGTTGAAATCCGAGTTCTGTCACTTATTACTTTAGGATATAGAAGTTACTAAATCTCTCCAAACCTTAATGTTCTCATCTGTGAAATGGGTGGTAATAACAGCACCTACCTGAGAGGGGTGTTGAGAGGACTGAAATGCTTAATCCGAGGAATAACACTTAGCCAGGTATCAGAGCTACAGGAATAACTCAGTACAAGTTAATCATTACTCTTTGTAACCCTCTTTCCTGCACCCTCAGTGCACCAGCAATGCCTGGGGTGGGACAGATGCCTGCACTGGCCGGGCCGATGAAGGGACAGTGACAGAGCAGGGAGTGAGAGATTGAGGCGGGAAGCAGGAGCCCAGCATCGTGCAGGATTGAGCTGGCACTGCCAGGCTCCCAGGAAAGGCTGCAGGGTTTGCACCTGGCCCTGGAGAACCTCTCTGAACAGGCAGACCAGCCACAAGAGTGGCCAGGGGACTTCCTAGGGCCTGGCTCCTAGGGACACATGCAGACCATTCCTGCCCAGAGGCTCGGCCACAGAGAGAACCTTCCCTACTGGGCCTTGGACTGGGCAGGGGACCTGCCCCTCAGGGAAGAGATCAGGCCCTTGTTGGATGAAGGGCAGGGGCCCACATGTGGGCCAATGACCATCATGGACGGGTGGCTGTAAAATGTCCAATGTGACAACACGGTAACCACTGCACCGGGTGATCCTGTAACATAATTATCTATCACAGGCAATTATAATATGGAGATGGAGTCTAAGGTCTCATTCTCCACCTGTGCAATCAGCACAAGGCTGGTCTCAGTGTGGAATGTCCTCCTGGTCTCCTCCTGCCCGAGAATGGGGAGGGTTCCTGCTGGTTCTCCTGCCACCTCCTCCGGGAAGCCCTCCTCAGCCCCTCTGTGTGGACCGGCTTCCTCTCTGCGCTGCACAGCTCTTTGTACCCCTCGCTGCGGCACAGGTGTCAGTGTCCTTGTCTCATCTCCCTGCAGCCCTATATGCTCCCCGGGAGCAGGTTCCCTGGCTGACTCAGCCCCAGCCTACAGCCCCAGGCATCACAGATACTCGGCATTGATGGAATGGATGACTGGCCCAGGCAAGATCCTAAGTGGCTCTGCAGTGATGCGGGGTCAGATAAGATCCCTGGGTCTCAGCTCTGCTCACGTTGGAATCTCCTCAGCAGCTTTTCTGGGCCCCAGACATTCTGAGTTCACGGTATAGATGCATGTTGATTCAGAATCATTAAACTAGATTAACCCTAAGCCTTTGAGCGTCTCAAACATTAACCAGACCTGCAGACTCTGCCTTTCTATCAGCCCCGGGTACTGCCGATGCTGCTTGGCTGAGGACCACGCCTTGAGTGTCATGTCTAAGGCAGTGATTCTCAACCTCGGCTCTACATGGGAAATCAATTGGTGGGTGAATTTTTAAGACCATGGATGCCTGGGCCCAACCCCCCGCCCCCTGAGATTGTGATTCAATTGGTCCAGAGTGAGACCCAGACATACTATATAAGTTGCATTTCTGGCACTAACACAGTGCTTTTTTTTACCTCTTCAATATTTCCTAAGTCTCTCCTTCTTTTATTTCTGTTTTCCTCCTATCACTCCATCCTGGGCTCCCATCTTCCCACACCCAGCCTTGTGCAGTATCCTCTTAACTGGTGCTCTCTCTCACATTATTCCTGACCCCAAATCCACTCTTTAAACTTCCTTCTCAAGGCCACGATAGAGGTGACAGTGGTTTTAAGGTGCTGGTCATTGTTTCTACAGAACAATGGTTCTCCACTTTCCCGTGCATCACAATAACCCGGATGGCTTGTTCAGACACAGACTCTTGAGCCTCAAACCCCAGAGTCTCTGACGCAGGAGGTCTGTGGTGGAGCCAGAGAATTTGCCTTCCCAACAAATTTCCAAGACGTGTTGCTGCTTCTGGTCCAAGGAACACCCACTGAGAACCTCTGCTCCCAGATCTGAGTTAGATCATGGCCCTGACAAGGAGAAATCAGAACAGGCCCAACAGACAGGCTTGAGTGGCTGGTGCCACCCAGGTGGGGCACAGGGCAGGGCAGGAGCCAGAAAGCTCCTACCTACAACAAAAGCAAAGCCAACCAGAGTAACTGCAGTCACAGCAACAGCAGTAGCAGTAAAGCAGCCTCCCCTCCCAGACACACGGGAGTAGGCCATGCACCTGTGTCTACCTCATCATGTTTGGTGCCCACTGCCATCTGACCAGTAAGGAAAGTGAGGCTCCAGTGTTCTCACACTGACCTGCTGAGGTCTCCTGAGTCTGCCCTGTGCAAAGGGTAGTGATAGGAGCCTTAAATCTGACTTGGGCAGACAGATGTTTTAGTACCTTTAAATTCCAGTATCTGTCGCTTACTACCTGTGTCACCTGGGGCAGGTAACCTCCCTCTCTTCCTCAGTTTCTGCACCTGAAAGTGGTGATATTAACCATTTCCTCATGGGGTTATTGGAGGGTCACAGGGTATCCTGTGACAAGGGTTCTAGCTCAGTGGGGCCCCGTGGCCCTCAGCGGTGTGGGTTCCTGCACGTCCCCAGCTGGCCACGTTTCTGGTTTCCATAAGCACAGTGAGGAGGGAGGCCAGGGTTGCCAGCCTCATGGCAGTGGTCAGAAGGACCACCAGGCTCAAAACCTTTCTTCTCCTGTGCCCCTTAGCAGCTGCGTGCTACCTACACCTCTCTAGAAAGGCAGAGGCCCATCTTGGGCTCATCTTTCTTACTGACCCACCCTGAGGTGTCCCCAGCCTCTGAGTCTCCCACTCCCTTAAGAGAGCCCAGCAGCCCATCCCCTATGCCCACCCTCACTCCTTACCACCCTCATCAGTTCACCCAGGGGCCTCACCTGAGTAGGCAGAGCTCACGGAGGTGAGGCTGGGGCCTGGCTCCAGGACACCTCTGGCCGGCTCTCTAAGATCAGAGAAAGTAAGATTAGCTCATGCAATTAGAATTTGCAGGAGCATCAGGGGCCGCTGACTGCCTTACTTCTTTTGTGTGTGTTTTGAGATATACTGAAGCAGGGAAATCGTAATGAGATTGTAAATAGCTTCCCTGGTCCAAAATAGTGGGAGATGAAGACGAAATAGTTTCTGAATATAGATCTTCCTAGAGCCCTTACTTATTAGAAGTATGTGCATTGCATTCATTCAGGAGAGATAGTATACCTTGCCTGCGTTACGTGAAGAATAACGTGGAGGATTCTGCCCCATAAAACATTGTTTGAGAAATGCCTGAGTGAAATGCCTGGTCGTAATTCACACAACTCTTGCACATTGAGAACACACAGAACCCACAGAAGAAAAACCAAACCCTGTGCTCTGGTGTGAAGGTTTTACCTAGTCTTGTCTTTGCTGCTCCTCTGCTGTCTGAGATAACTCTGCATCCCACCGCTCTGAGCCTCATCCTGCCTGTCTGTCCCTCCAGAAGTCTACGCTTCCAAGAAGCGGGAGGGCTGTACCTTAGTGGGGAAGGACAGGAGGGAGGGGACTCAGACAGAAGCCTCTCCAACATTGTGTAGAGAGAAGGAGGCTTGCCTCCCCTCCCTTTGCAGCAACAAACTGAAGCAGCCCCTGAACGTGCTCTCAGGGTCATGATTCTGAAGCTCCCTGGCACTGGGGAATTTCAGTAACTGGTGCCTGTGCCCTCTCAGTGTCCACTCCCCACTGTCTCAGGGACAGAATGAGCATGGTGGCCTCCACATCGCCTGTGTTCCAGGAGCAGGGCTGGTTCTCTCTTGTCACTGGTAGCAGATCCACATCTGTCAGACCAACATCTTGATTCTTCGTTTTGGAACTCTGAATGCCACATGTGAGTTGAAAGCTCCAGGATTGGCCTCCTCTCCCTTCACAGCCCGTGCTTTAGACAGTCATTTGGGTCAAAAACCTCCTCTTCTTGTCCCTGTAGAGCCAATGTCCAAGTGCCTTCTTCCAAGGGACACTCAGAAGCCCTGAGCAGGGGTCCTTTTTCCAACCTGGACTCAGAGAACCCCGTCCATCGCAGGGCATTCTCCTCTGCCTGAGACAGTAGGGAGAAAAGAGATGCATTTGGAGGATTCAAAACCATCCTGGGGGTGAGTCAGGACTTCACAGCCCTGACTCTTTGGGTGAAAATGAAGCATTTATCTACCACCCGCTGCACCTGGACACCTGCTGCAAGGCTTCATGCTCCCCTCAAGTATTTCTCTTGTCTAATTCATTTACCAAGAAAGTTCCCAAAACTCTGCAAGGTCAACAGGGAGAAGCTGGGACTGTGCCCAGCACCTCGCAAGGTCCCACTTTAGGAGTTACTCTTTGGCCCTGGTGCGGATTTTTATAAGAATCTTACCTCTGAGTGGCACTGAAGTTCATCTCTTTCACACTCTTCAGAGCCCATTTTCACACCTGGTTTCTCCTCCAAAAAGGACATTTTCAACGTGAAGAAATGACTCAACAGGAGCCTGGGATGAAGGGCAGGACCTGAGTGGACAGGAAGGGGACTGGCTACGGTTCCTTCTAACCCCAGGAAACCTTGCCGGAGGCCCCTGCTGATCAGGCCGCAGGCCTTGCTCTCTCTTGGAAATGTTTGCTGCCTCCAGGAAGGCCTCCCAGGGCTGGGCCATCCTCTTCTGTCACTCCTTCTTTGATGCTTGCCCATCCAAAGCAATGCTCTCCAAACTGTGGGTCACCATATCTTTTTTATGGATCTTGACAGCATTTTAGCAAAAGGAAATAGAAAATTCAAAGTGTATTGTTCTAATCCTGGGACTGGCAAACTACAGCCCACAGGCCAAATCTGCCCTACCACCTGTTTTTAAGTAAAGTTTTTTTGGAACACAGTCACGCTTGTATTTACACGTTGTCTATGGCTGCTCTCTGGCTCTAACAGCAGAGATGAGTCATTGAAAGAGAGTCACCTGGCCAGCAAAGCCTCTACTGGTTACTTTCCCAACCTTCATAGAAAAAGTTTGCCCACCCTCTGCTAGAGTCTAATCTTAGACAAGAAAGACACTTTCTTCGCAGCCTCTTGTCATGGAAAACTGAGCCTCCAAAGGTCCCAAGAAGCTCAACTCCTGATGTCTTGGGGCAGGAATGACACAGAATCCCCTTATTGAAAGGGCTTGGAGGAGGGAGGTTTCCAAACACCCTCCAATTGTACACATCACATCTCACCCGATTCACGAAGAACTTTCCCCAGCATGAGTTCGGGACAACACAGTGAGGGAAGCAGGGCAAGAAATGTTATTCCCACCTTACAGATGAAAACCCTGAAGGTAAGTGACTTATCAAGGGTGACACCACCTTTAACGTTGCAGAGATGGACATGTGTGGAAACCAAATCCTCTGAGAATGGCTTTGCAAAAAGTAAATGGATTTGCAAAAAGTAAAAATGACAAGGAAGAGCTCCAGGGCTTGGCGGTAAAGACAGTGAATAAAAGAGAGGATATCCACCGGGCAGTTCTGGGACGTGGGGAGACCTGATGGGTCTTTAAGGGCATGGATAGCTCCTATTTGATCCTAAGTTGTTCATTGTTTGGCTGAATCCCCCGAATCTACAAAGCACAACTGCCTTTGTAGTTTGGGGGACAAATCAAGGGACACAGAGAATTGGTGGCACTTGAGAAGGCAGAGAATATGGCAGCCACAGGACATCAGAACAAGAGACAGAAAGGTAGGTACCCAAATATGTGAAGATGCTGCTGGAGGCCAGAATGATAGATGCCCATAGGCTGGAGGACCTGGGGATGTTCCTGTGAACTGCTTATAGAATTTGCCACTTATATCGAGGTCAACGCAGGTGGCTTCCCACAGGGCCCCCTGAAGCACCACATTTGGCCATTGAGATCCATCTCAGTTTATCTGTATGACTGTGCTTCACAGTGCCAAAAAAGGCTGGTCAATTCAGAGGAAAATCCACAAAACCAATTAAGATAATAGCTTCCGGGCCACCACCCCCAGCATCACAACACAGGGACAAGAATGACAACCACTGTTGTCAGCCGAGGTGCTCTCACCGGACGGGGCAGGGGCCAAGTCCACTGTTTTCTTTGTCTCACCTAATCCTTTGAAGATCCTACAGGTAGGCGCTGCTCTCCCCGATTTCCAGACAAAAGACAGTGCAGTTTTAGAGGTTCAGCTATTTACCTGCCATCATGTGTGTAGCTCCGGGCAGCATAGTTCAGGCCTTTCTGAGTGTGTGGCAGCTCCACTTCTTAAATGTGGTTAAAGGCTAGGGTTTCATCTTCTAGTCTTTTCCACACACACATCTACATAACATACAAATACAGGAGTGTGGCTGGCACATGATTTTGTAACCTGCCTTTTCTACTTAGCAATGCATCCTGACTTTCTACTCAACATGGTATCTCAAATATCATTTCATTGCATCAATACTTTTCTACATAATTTTTTTTAAAGATTTTTTTGATGTGGACCATTTTTAAAGTCTTTATTGAATTTGTTACAATATTGCTTCTGTTTTATGCTTTGGTTTTTTGGCCACGAGGCATGTGGGATCTTACAGCTCCCCGACCAGGGATCAAACCCACACCCCCTGCAATGGAAGGCAAAGTCTAAACCACTTGACCGCCATGGAATTCCCTACTACATTATTTTTAATTGCAGCAAGGTATGCCATTATTCGTCTAAAGACTTGGAAAAAAATGTTATTCTCTTTACAGCTGGAATAAAAATATCTAATTTGTCTGTTAAATTTCTAATAAGGAGAACAGACATAGAAAACAAACTTATGGTTATCAAAGGGGAAGAGGGAGGGGAGGGATAAATTAGGAGGATGGGATTAAAAGATACACTACTGGGGCTTCCCTGGTGGCGCAGTGGTTGGGAGTCCCCCTGCCGATGCAGGGGACGCAGGTTAGTGCCCCGGTCCGGGAAGAGCCCACATGCCGCGGAGTGGCTGGGCCCGTGAGCCATGGCCACTGGGCCTGCGCGTCCGGAGCCTGTGCTCCGCAGCGGGAGAG